GCGCTGCTCCTAATGTTTGGAACTATTCAATGTTCCCATGAGCCACTATTACTGTTAAAAAAAACAAAAAAAAAACAGTCTTCACAGAGTCCTTGGGGATGTTATCACTCTTCTTAATCCAGTCTGGGTACCACTGGTGTGCAGCATCTGTATTATAGCTATACCACTGTCTGAGAATTTTGTGGATTGCAGTCTAATCCACATAAGAATGCAGACAATGAAGACTCGAGTACTGTGTATGATCACTGACTGGGTCACAGTATGCTTTACCTTGTATAGTGTTGTGTATGGATGTCTTGTAGAGTATGGGGACATCATCATGGAGCAGTGTTTGCACCTGAGGCTGCATCTGGTATTTGTAATAGCCTCATACTCCTTGTCTGTTACATGACCATTCAGATCAATTGTCAGATATAATGCCAGTACATAACAGACTGTAGTTACTACTCTGTAGTACGGAGTTAATTATGTGTGACTGTGTAGCAGCCGTCCTACTGAATGTCTGTCTCGAGCACACTTTGTCTTTATCAGTGTTTTGCAAATGTTTTCCTGATTTTGTAGACTGTTATTGCCCTCACACTCTGCAGATGGATTTACATTCACAATATGTGACTCAGTTGTGTGTGCCAACACATGAAACACCTACAACACATATGCGTGTGTGTGCGCCCACACATTACTTATGAGTACCTTCTGTTGCCTGTACACTATTTATTCACTAAACATGTGATTTCACCACTGCATATAACAGTTTAAAGGGTTAAACCCCAATGACTAAATCCAATCCTAACTCTAACAGTCTATCACAGCATTTTTATAATCAATTCTGACAAAAATGTTTAATTCTCAGACATGTTCATTACAGTGAGAGCAATCAATGTTCTGGATAAAACATAAGTTTGAGAGCAGTCTCTAAAAGCTGTACTGGGGAACAGCGAGGAATAAGAGGCTCTATCTCAAATCAGCTGGTGAAGCTTTGTAAGAATAGTCAGACCAGCTACCGGTAGATGATGGACTTCAACAGGAATGTACCTTATCACAAATCTGTTTTATTTTTGTTGTTTTTTACACAGTGTCCAGCTTGGTGACCTCATGCACTTTTCACTGATGATGTATTTATTAAATAAGTACCTGCAGCTGTGAGTCCTTTGTCTAATCAAAAATGCAATGAAGCTATTATGAGGCTTTAGTGGTCCAAGTTAGTCAAATCAAGTGGGGATCTTTAAAAGTTACAGGATTTTAATATCATATTGCTTTGTTGTACTTTTGCTTTCTTAGTGAGCCACAGTGGAGGATATTATCAGCTTCCTTCTGGTTTAAAGCAGGTTTCTGAGAGTAAAGAAGGTCTAAGGGTTTTATTCATAGGTTTTTTTTTAGCACATCAGGAAGCTGTTGTGGGATCAGCAGTGATGAGGATGTTGCATTGGACCATCATGATGAAGAGTGAACTGATCCAGAAAACAAAGTTTACTAGTTGATAGACATTTCAACTCTCACCATTGGTCTTAGTAGTAATTAGAAGACAATCATGGATACAAGTGGCTAAAGTAAATGAGCTGGAAGAATTCAGATTTTCTTAAAAAAATAAAAAAGAAGAAAGAAAGAAGAACCTTTTCTCCTTGAAAGTTGCCCACTGTGGTTCGGCCATCTGATCTGGATGCCTCAGTGTGAAGGTTTTCCGTGCATTTCCAACAAGGAGCTGGCTCCAGTGAAGACTTGGAAAACATTGGAGGGATTATATCTACAGTATCCCATCTGGCCTGAAAGCACAGCTTGCCTTGGGCTATTACTCTCACATAATCTGGGTCATGTTAAGTGAGTGGGAAAATGGATGATATGCTAAAATATATGATGTATGATAGATAGCATGTCCAAATTGATAGAGACCAAGACAAGTCTAAGATTAATTCCTATGTCACTTCTGCTTACGTTTACAGTTTAGAATCCCTTTGATTGTTTAAAAGTTACCATCTCATTTTACATTTAATTGCAGTGCAGCTTAGAGTGTGGTTATCCAAGCAGAGCCTGTCAGTACCAGGTTTTGGCCGGGTTTGGACAGTAATTTAGAAATAATGTCCAAGTCCGTGTCAGGTTCAAACATGTGGATTAAACGTTAGGCTAGACAACTGGAGGTCTTAAATGTTGGCTTTTTTTAATGATAAGGGAAATACAGCATACAAACTCAACTGCACAGGGCTCAGGTCACATTTGGACATTAAATACTACAGGTCCAAGTTAGGTTCAGACCCCACGCTCTTGGCCACAGGTCAGGTTCCGACAGAAATATGCAGCCCGATCCATGCTCTACTACAGCTTCTGGCTTGTGTTGTAAACCAAATTGTCTATGTCAAGTCTTTCTACAGATTACCATGGTTTTGACTTGGGAATTCAGCTTTGCATGTTACTTGTAAAACAAGACCCTCCTCCAGTGGAACTCCAAATCTAACTTTAACCTTGATCCTGTTGATTCTAACCAGCCTCTTGTAAAACTGAGACCCAACCAATATGTCCTTCATATAGGCAGAAGCTCAACATAACTGAGCCACCCTCATAGCTTCTGTCAGCCACTTGCAGTCATGAAGTTGTCATTATTGTGAAACGTGAGGGCAGATCTTCTCCTTGAATGCCTTCCACCCCCTAGATGCATTGCGCTCATTATATGGGTTATGAGCTCAGGGAGGGTTTGGGCTCTTTAATCAATGAACATGATGACACAGGGTATAAGTCACAGCAGTGTTCAATAGAGCATATCCTGGCAAAAAAGGCCAGAGCAGAGTAATATGTGTGCGATGAGATGCATAGTGGTCTCTGTGTAGCTTAGAGAAAACAGATGGATGGTCCTATGTGATGTGTGGTCTCCCTTGTTTTCATTTAGTTCTTA